CTCCTTTCATCTTTTCCTCCCTCCTTCATCCTTCCTTCACCTCTTCTTCGTCTGGTGACTGCCTCTGAGCTTGGGCAGAGTCTCAGTGTTTCCGCCACGAGAACACTGCTTAACCTCACACTACTATATAACAGGTGAGTGTCCCAGCAGCTGGCTAGGTCTATCATCTATCCTTCACCTGAGTGTCCCAGCAGCTGGCCAGGTCTATCATCTATCCTTCACCTGAGTGTCCCAGCAGCTGGTGAGGTCTATCATCTATCCTTCACCTGAGTGTCCCAGCAGCTGGTGAGGTCTATCATCTATCCTTCACCTGAGTGTCCCAGCAGCTGGTGAGGTCTATCATCTATCCTTCACCTGAGTGTCCCAGCAGCTGGTGAGGTCTATCATCTATCCTTCACCTGAGTGTCCCAGCAGCTGGTGAGGTCTATCATCTATCCTTCACCTGAGTGTCCCAGCAGCTGGTGAGGTCTATCATCTATCCTTCACCTGAGTGTCCCAGCAGCTGGCTAGGTCTATCATCTATCCTTCACCTGAGTGTCCCAGCAGCTGGTGAGGTCTATCATCTATCCTTCACCTGAGTGTCCCAGCAGCTGGCTAGGTCTATCATCTATCCTTCACCTTGTTTTTCTTTATCGATTTGCCAATGACCAGTTTTATCGTGAAGTAAATTTGGTGTGTGGCAGAGCGAGGCCAGGTGCTGAATGAAGAAGGAAGGGAGGGAATGAATTCTGCAGGAGGGAGGGAAGGAGGGAGGGAGAGAGGAAGGGAGGGAGGAGGGGTGAGGGGTCCCACTCCAGAATGTAAGAGGTGGTGGCTCGGAGAAGACGGGAAATGTGTTTGTTCAAGGAAAGACTGGAAGAGACAGAGAGGGAGAGGTCTCACTTTATAATGAAGGAAGGAGGGAAGGAAGGTCTTGGGGTTCACTGACCTGGTGACCATCGGGTCAGGAAGGCCACTGACTTGGGCCACTAACCTGGTGTCCCTCAGGTCATGTCATCAACTGACCTGGGTCGCTGACTTGGTGTTTTCTGCCTTGATTTTCTTCTTGTTGTCCAGGTCCCTTTAGGTCTTCCTCCAGGTCCCTTTAGGTCTCCCTCCAGGTCCCTTTAGGTCTCCCTCCAGGTCTCTTTAAGCCTCCCTCCAGGTCCCTTTAAGCCTCCCTCCAGGTCCCAGGTCTCCTCCAGGTCCCTTTAGGTCTCCTCCAGGTCCCTTTAAGGTCTCCTCCAGGTCCCTCCAGGTCCCCTCCTCCAGGTCCAGGTCTCCTCCAGGTCCCTTTAGGTCTCCCCTCCAGGTCCTTTGCCTCCCTCCAGGTCCCTTTATGCTCCTCCCAGTCCCTTTAGGTCTCCCTCCAGGTCCTTTGCCTCCCTCTCTCCAGGTCCCTTAAGGCTCCCCCTCTCTCCAGGTCCCTTTAAGCCTCCCTCCAGGTCCCTTTGCTGCCCCTCCAGGTCCCTTTTTTTTTGCTTTCCTCTTCAGGTCCCTTAAGTCTCCTCCAGGTCCCTTTGTCTCCCTCCAGGTCCCTTTGGGGTTTCTCCCTCCAGGTCCCTTTTAAGGCTCCCCTCCAGGTCCCTTTTAGGGTCTCCTCCAGGTCCCTTGCTTCCTCCCCTCCAGGTCCCTTTTTGCCTCCCTCCAGGTCCCTTTAAGGCTCCCTCCAGGTCCCTTTAAGGCTCCCTCCAGGTCCCTTTAGGTCTCCCCTCCAGGTCCCTTTGCTTCCCTCTCCAGGTCCCTTAAGTCTCCTCTCCAGGTCCCTTTGCTCCCCCTCCAGGTCCCTTTTTGCTCTCTCTTCAGGTCCCTTAAGTCTCCCTCCAGGTCCCTTTAAGTCTCCTCCAGGTCCCTTTGCCTCCCCCTCCAGGTCCCTTAAGGCCCTCCAGGTCCCTTTAGGTCTCCCTCCAGGTCCCTTTTTAGGTCTCCCTCCAGGTCCCTTTTAGGTCTCCCCTCCAGGTCCCTTTGCCTCCCTCCAGGTCCCTTTAAGGCCCTCCAGGTCCCTTAAGCCTCCCTCCAGGTCCCTTTAAGGCCCTCCAGGTCCCTTTGCCTCCCTCCCAGGTCCCCTTTAAGGCCCTCCAGGTCCCTTTGGGGTTCCCTCCAGGTCCCTTTAAGCCCTCCTCCAGGTCCCTTAGGTCTCCCCCTCCAGGTCCCTTGGCCTCCCCTCCAGGTCCCTTAAGCCTCCCTCCAGGTCCCTTTTTTGCTCCTCCAGGTCCCTTTAAGGCTCCTCCAGGTCCCTTTGCTGGGCTCCCTCCAGGTCCCTTTAAGCCTCCTCCAGGTCCCTTTAAGCCTCCCTCCAGGTCCCTTAAGGCTCCCCTCCAGGTCCCTTTGCTCTCCCCTCCAGGTCCCTTTTTGCTTCCTCCAGGTCCCTTAGCCTCCTCCAGGTCCCTTTGCCTCTCCCCCCTCCAGGTCCCTTTAAGCCCCTCCAGGTCCCTTTGCCTCCCTCCAGGTCCCTTGCCTCCCTCCAGGTCCTCCTTTAAGGCCCTCCAGGTCCCTTTTAAGCCTCCCTCCAGGTCCCTTGGGCTCCTCCCTCCAGGTCCCTTTGGGCTCCCCTCCAGGTCCCTTGCCTCCCTCCAGGTCCCTTTGCTGCCCCTCCAGGTCCCTTTTGCTGCCCTCCAGGTCCCTTTGCCTCCCCCCTCCAGGTCCCTTTGCCTCCCTCCGGTGTCCCTTTGCTGCCCCCTCCAGGTCCCTTTGCCTCCCTCCAGGTCCCTTTAAGCCTCCCCCTCCAGGTCCCTTGAAGCCTCCTCCAGGTCCCTTGCCCCTCCAGGTCCTTTTAAGGCCCCCTCCAGGTCCTTAAGCCTCCCCCCTCCAGGTCCTTTGCCTCCCTCCAGGTCCCTTTAAGGCTCCCTCCAGGTCCCTTTAAGCCTCCTCCAGGTCCCTTTAAGGCTCCCCTCCAGGTCCCCTTTAAGGCCCTCCAGGTCCCTTTTTGCTCCCTCCAGGTCCTCTAGTCGTCTTAATCACGTCTCCTTCCAGGTAACTCTTCTGGTTCCTCAAAATCCTCAAGACCCTCCATGTTCCTCTCCACCTCCTCTTTCTTCCCCCCTCCCCAGCCTCACCCCTCACCCCCCCACTCAGCCCCCCTCCACCAGCCCCCCCAGGCCCCCCCCTTCCTTACTGAACGACGTCTGGGTGAAAATCGGTGTTGAAAGTACAAAAAAAAATATATGTAGCCTGAAATATGTTGATGTTTATCATGGAAATATTCATGTGTGTGTGTGTGTGTGTGTGTGTGTGTGTGTTTGTGTGTGTGTGTCTGTGTGTGTGTGCACTTTCATTCTTACTGCTGTAACTATTACCTCTTATATTGTTCACCCTCTAAATTCTTAGAACAATATCTCTACACCCTCTTGACCTTGACCTCATCTCACTTGTTCATCATTTGCTGCCTATCACCTTAACACTTCTAGTTAATTAGGATCAAATTCAGGTGTTCATCCATTAACAAAAACAAGTCTAATAACGTAAAAATTCTCTATATTCCTCTTCTGTATTCCTCACTATTATCTTTCTCTGAATATACAATACCTATCAATCTTTCTGCATTTCTATTCATTTCTCAACACCACCACCACCCCCATCACCACCATTACCCTCCCTCATCACCACTATTACCTCCCTCATCACCACTATTACCCTCCCTCATCACCACCATTACCCTCCCTCATCACCACGCCTCACCTCACTCACCACCACCACCTTCACACAGTCACGTCACACCAGAAGAAAATACGCCATCCACTATCAAATATTTCTACATAACCCAACCCAACCGAACCCAACCGAACCCAACCGAACCCAACCCAACCCAACCCCAACCGAACCCAACCCAACCCAACCCAACCCAACCCAACCCACCGAACTGAACCCAACCCAACGAACCCAACCAACCCAACCCAACCCAACCCAACCCAACTTTTTTATACGTTTTTCTTTTTTGGCGGAGGGCAGCATCGTGATAATATTTGACTTATGTATGGAGATATATTCTTGGTACGTGGCCAGGTGTGTGTGTGTGTGTGTGTGTGTGTGTGTGTGTGTGTGTGTGTGTGTGTGTGTGTGTGTGTATCAAGGACCGTGGTGTGTATGGCTGTCTGCCGTGTCATGGTCTCGTGGTTCTGCTTTGAAATAACCAAGAGCTGTCATCATAACCGTATTTTTTCCTGACACACCGCCCCGTCCCACTCTGTCTCACACTCTCATCCGCCCTTTTCCGTCTTTCCCAGTCCCTGTCAACCCTTCCCTGTTCCGTCCATGCCACATCCTCCCCAGTTCCTTCCCTGCCCCATTCTCCTCGTTCCGTTCCATCCTATTCCCTCATGGACTGTTCCGTTCCCCCCCGCACCAGGATTGAAGTTATTCACTGAGATGTGTGATAGAAACCTAGCTTATTCCTGGAGCAAAACCGGTTACCTTTTCTCCCATCTCTCTCCAGTAAACGTTCCAGAATTACAATTATTCATTCCCCAGAAAAATATCTCAACGTATTTATAAGTCAAAATAAGATGATATTTTCTTTTTATTCCTAGTGATTATTTTTCCTAGGATGTTTTTACAATACTTTAAGTCGAGAGATTTTACGGTTCTTTTCCAGGATGTACGTGACTCAGGCCTCTTGTGAGGATTTGAGAACATTTAGTTTGATCTGAAATGTCGTGTTATTAGATGAAGTTGTGGATATGTCTCTGTCTGTCTGTCTGTCTTACACAGGTGTCTCAGAGGTACAACGTCTATGTCTGTCTGTCTGTCTGTCTGTCTGTCAATACAATGCTCATCCATAATTCTCTTCATACAAATAATATAACATTAAATAATTATAAACAAACTGTATGTATCAAATATTGTTAATGGAGTAAAAGTTGATAATTTATTCTTTTGTCATATAAGTTTTGACGAAAAAATCGCTCTGGTAATTACTACACTATGAGGGGGCAGCCAGTGAAGGGGCCAGGGGGCACAGTGGGAGTCCAACCAGGGGGGCACCAGGAGGAGCCAGCGGGGGGTTACTGTGACTGACCAACCAGCGGGGGCACAGGGAACCAGCGGAGGGGGCACTGTGGGGGTCCAAGCGGAGGGGGCTGTGGGGTCCAACAAGCGGAGGCACTGTCGGACCAACCAGCGGGGGGCACAGGGACCAACCAGCGGGGGCACAGGACCAACAAGGAGGGGGCACTGTGCGGACCAACAGCGGGGGGCACAGTGGGGGACCAACCAGCGGGGGCACAGTGGGGACCAACAAGCGGAGGGGGCACTGTGGGGTTCAACCAAAGTGGGGGGCACAGTGGGGACCAACCAGCGGGGGGGCACAGTGGGGTCCAACCAGCGGAGGGGGGCACTGTGGGGGACCAACCAGGGGGGGCACAGGGGACCAACGCAGGGGGGGCACAGGGACCAACCAGCGGGGGCACAGTGGGGACCAACCAGGCGGGGGCACAGGGGACCAACCAGCGGAGGCACTGTGGGGACCAACCAGGGGGGGGCACAGTGGGGGACCAACAGGAGGGGGGGCATTGGGGGTCCAACCAGCGGGGGGCACAGGGGACCAACCAAGGGGGGCACTGTGGGTCCAACCAGGGGGGCACAGTGGGGACCAACAAGGAGGGGGCACTGTGTCCAACCAAAGGGGGGGCACAGTGGACCAACCGAAGGGGGGACTGTGGGGTTCAACCAGCGGGGGCACTGTAGGGACCAACCAGGAGAAAGCAGGGGGACCAAACAGCGGGGGGCACTGTGGGATCCAACCAGCGGGGGGCACAGTGGGGACCAACCACGGGGAGCACAGTGGGGACCAACGCAGAAAGTGCAGGTCCAACCAGGCACAGTGGGGTTCAACCAGGGGGCACAGTGGGGACCAACCAGGGGGGCACAGGGGGTCAAACCAACGGGGGCACAGTGGACCAACCAGGGAGGGGCACTGTGGGGGACCAACCAGCGGGGGGGCACAGTACCAACCAGAGGGGACAGTGGGGGACCAACCAGCGGGGGCAGGGGGACCACCAGCGGGGGCAGGGGACCAACCAGGGGGGCACTGGGGCCAACAAAGGGTGGGCAAACCAGGGGGCACTGTGGCCAACCAAAGCGGGGGGCACAGTGGGGGACCAACCAGCGGGGGCACTGGGCGGACCAACCAGCGGGGGGGCACAGGGGCGGACCAACCAGGGGGGGGTGGGGACCAACCAAGGGGGTGGGGACCAACCACGGAGGCACTGGGGGTCCAACAAGCGGAGGGCACTGTGAGTGATCAACCATCGGGGGGGGGGGACCAACCAGCGGGGGGCACAGTGGGGACCAACCACGGAGGGGGCACTGTGGGGTCCAACAAGCGGAGGGGCACTGTGGGGTCCAACAAGGAGGGGGCACTGTGGGCACCAACCAGTCAAAGGTGGGGACCAACCAGCGTGGAACTGTGCGGACCAACCAGCACTGTGGCGACCAACCATGGGGGGCAGTCCAACCGTCAGCGGGGGGGCAAGATGGGGGACCAACCAGAGGGGAGCACTGTGGGTCCAACAAGCGAGGCACTGTGGCGAACAAATGGGGGGGCAGTGGGGGGACCAACAAGCGGAGGGGGCACAGTGGGGACCACCAAAGGCAGACCAACAGCGGAGGGGGGGCACAGGGCGGACCAACCAGCGGAGGGGGGCACCAAATCAACCAGCGGAGGGGGCATCGGACCAACCATCGGAACAGTGGGGACCAACCAGCGGGGGGGCAAGTGGGGGTCCAACCAACGAGGGGGCACTGGGGTCCAACAAGCGAGGTTGGTAAGACCAACCACAGAAGGGGGAACTAAGTGACCAACCAGTCACAGGGACCAACCAGTAAGGGGCAACCAATCAAAGGAGGCAATGCAACCAAATTGAAGGGTGACCAACCAGCGGAGGGGCACTGTGGGGGTCCAACCAGCGGGGGCAGTGGGGACCAACCAGTGAGGGGGGCCATAAAAGGGGAAAGTCCAACCAGAGGGGGGCACTGTGGGGTCCAACAAGCGGAGGGGGCACAGTGGGGACCAACCATGGGGGGCACTGTGGGTGACCAACCAGCGGGGGGCACAGTGGGGGACCAACCAGGGGGCACAGTGGGGACCAAATCAGTGAGGGGGGGGCACTGTGTTCAACCAGCGAGGGGCACTGTGGGCATCCAACCAGGGGGGCACAGGGGACCAACCAGTAAAACAGTGGGGACCAACCAACAGTGGACCAACCAGCGGAGGGGGGGGCAGTGGGGTCCAACAAGGAGGGGGGGCACAGGTGACCAACCAGCGGGGGGGCACAGTGGGGACCAACCAAGGAGGCAGTGGGGGACCAGTGGGGGGGCACAGGGACCAACCAGCGGAGGGGGCACGGGTCCAACCAGCGGAGGGGGCACGGTCCAACAAAGGGCACTGGGGTCCAACATGAGGGGGAGACCAGGGGGTCCAACCAACGTAGTTCAAAGAGGGAGGAACCAGTGGGGGGGGGCTGTAAGTGACCAACCAGCGGAAGGGGGCACTGGGGGCCCAACCAACGGTAGTGGGGGCACAGTGGGAGGCGAACCAGGGGGGGTACTGTGGACGGACCAACCAGCGAGAGGGGCACCTGTGGGGTCCAACCAACGTAGTGGTGGGGGAGCCACAGTGGGAGGCGAGCCAAAGGGGTGGGGGGGCACCTGAGGGGACCAACCAAAGGGAAGAGGGGAGGAGGTCAGCCAAACATTCCCAATCTATAAATATTGTTGTCTAAATAGAGACTGGGTCTTCCCTACCTAGTTGAAGACCCATTAAACTTCAACACCTGAATGCTCATTGTATATAAACATGTCTTCTATGTTTAATAAGTCTCCACCAAAACCAGAAGTATTGCATCATTCACTGCAACATTAATGTGGTGTAAAGCTGAGGGCGTATTGATACTTAATCACTAACCCACACCTGAGTGACCTCTCTCCCAACATCAATACTCACAATAACATGATGTTTGACCAATCAGCGACTGTGAGGAAACATGAATTTCGACCAATCAGCGTATCAATGTGACGTAACAAAGATCAACCAATCATCGCCCCAATGTGTCGTAAACAATTGACCAAGTTCATATTATGACGTAACATAAAACTTCAACCAATCAGTGCCTCAATGTTATCGTAAACAAAATTCTCAACCAATCAGTGCCTCTCTATATCACGTAACAAAAAGCCGACCAATCAACGCCCCTCATCAATATGACGTCCATTAACACACCACGTCCACCAATCAAATTATAATGATTTTTTTTGTGAATTGGATGCGGCCCAACGTGTGTGGTTTAGTGAGTTGGTTTAGGTAGAAAAATGTTTAGATTCGTGTTTGTTTTATATTTTGAGAGACATTATGAGAGACACACCAAATTTATGGTCTCTCCTCGTCATTCCTCTATTTTATTGTAGTTTGAGCTCATTCGCCCGTGTACCAGTTTTTCTGTACTGTCTCCAATCATGAGAGGAACAGAGTCGTTTTGTTCTCAGTCGTTTCACCTGAGGTACAAAAGTCGTTCTACTGTACTCAATCATATCTCAAAGGTACTCAAAAATTCTACTCTGTATGCAACACCAGAGTCCACATGACAATGTCAACACTACAGGTAAACAAGGACAAATTTAATCTGATTTCATCTATTCTGTTTCATTTGTTCTGTTCTTACCTAACCTAATTCCTAAACCCAACTTAACGATGGAAATGAAAACCATATCTAATTATGTTAAATCGAATTAAACTCATTTGAAGAAGTTGTTTGATAAAAATGAAAATAATGGAAATTACGTGATTAAAACTCCTAAGAATATTGGAATTAATTTGTGTATAATAATGATAATGTATATTTTATCAAGGTTAGGTTAGGTTGGGATGGTTAGGTTGGAATTAGGATTAGGCTAGGTTAGGTTAGGTTAGAGTTGGGTTAGATTAGATTAGATTAGGTTAGGTTAGATTAGAGTTAGATTAGGTTAGATTAGGTTAGGTTAGGTTGGGTTGGGATTAGATTAGGTTAGGTTAGGTTGGAGTTAGGTTAGGTTAGGTTAGGTTAGGTTAGGTTGAGTTAGGTTGGGTTGGGTTAGATTAGGTTAGGTTAGGTTAGGTTAGGTTAGGTTAGGTTAGGTTAGGTTAGGTTAGGTTAAGTTAGGTTAGAGTTAGGTTAGGTTGGGTTAGGTTAGAGGGTGTGTATATATAGAACGAGAGTCTATCCTGAGACTCTTATGAGGCTACTGTTATTATTGTGTGTGTGTGTGTGTGTAAACAAGTCATATTTGCAGGACACAACTCAGTCTTAGAGTGCACAGTAAATGCACTTTAAACAGCCCACACACACACACACACACACACACACACACACACACACACACCTGTACCATGTCACCTATCAAGTTAACCGCGACAATATAACAGGTATATAAGACTACATAATATATACTGTACATGAAGCATTAATAGACTTTACTATATATACAGTAGATTATAATTGTATATGCTCGAGATGGATCGAACATGGTCTCCCTATGTATAGACGAGTGTGCTGGCAAGGTAGCAGCCTCAGTCCTTATATGAAGTGAGATATAATAAAGTGTTATAGTCAGTTTATTGACAGATTATAACTAGGATTTCTACCTGTCCTAAACCTTAATTATCTAAGACTATAGTAATATACCTGACTATGTACAGTATATACGTCTTATGGGAGTATATCCCGAAGTATAAAAGTCACTATGAAAGTATATATGAATGTACTGAGAGAAAGTATTAACACAGAAATTTTAATCTTGAGGTAAAACTTTCAAACTTAAAGGAAGTTTGTGAAAGTAATACAAGAGATGTTTAAGTATAAAAAAGTGAATGAGAGATAAAAAGAAAGTAAGAGAGTGAGTTAAGTTAAGTAAAATAGTAAAAAGGAAATAAAGTGAAATAAAAAATAAACACGATATAAATCTTAACGCCTAGAGTACATTAACAACCCCTAGGTACGATACTAACCCCTAGAGTACGATACTAACCCCTAGAGTACGTTACCAACCCCTAGAGTACGATACTAACCCCTAGAGTACGATACTAACCCCTAGAGTACGATACTAACCCCTAGAGTACGATACCAACCCCTAGAGTACGATACCAAGCCCCTGAGTACGATTACTACTACTACTACTACTAAAAATTATTATTATTAACAAAATACAAATACTGTAGTAGAATCGATACGAATTTATTTAATTTTAATTTTTTTGTCAAACTATAAACACAATAAATAATATTAAAAAGGGTCAAAGTAATACTGACAATGTACAGAAAAGTAGTCAAGAAAAAAGTAATTGATAATAAAAGTAAATAATAGTAGATGAAATGCAGAAGTCTAGGGAAAAGTATATGACGCAAGTTTCCATCCACAAAGTATGTAAATAAAACACACACAAGAAACAACACGTCTTAACAACCAATGAAAAAGTACCGGAAAGTAGTTGACTCTTATAAACTAATCAAAAGTAGATCATGACAGGTGAGATGATAACAGGTGAACGGAAACCATAAAGAGGATCTGTACCTGGCCAATAAACAATCACTTCAAAACTACCCCAAAAAAATCTACAACAGGTTACGGAAAAATACTTTAGAGATTATTAAAGTAAACTAAAAAGGTAGCATGATTACAGGTGAGGTACAGACCAACAGGTGAGAGGAGAGTTACCTGCTGATGATAGCGTGTTGGTGGAGCTCTGAGCCGCGACACAAACACCGGCCCCGCACACAGCCAGAGACACACTGAAACTCTCTCTCCACCACACACACACACACACACACGCGCTCTTACGCACATGCCTCCCATCCACCCATACGCACACGCGCACACCTGTGTCAATATCGCTCCCTACCATGTGCACACACGCCCTCATATGTCCCCTGTGTGTACATGTGTTTCATTGCTGCTGGTCGGGGTGATGGTAGAGGCGTTTGTGCGTGTGTGTTTGTGACTCTCTCTCTCTCTCTCTCTCTCTCTCTCTCTCTCTCTCTCTCTCTCTCTCTCTTGTGTGTAAAGCTAATCGTCTAATTACCTGTAAAACTCATGTTAAGTCATTTATTAATATAAAACCGTTTTTTAAGGGAAGACGGAGTCACCTGAGTTAACTAATCAATCCATATGGCCGAGAGTACCTGAGAGGTCAACGGTTGTGTCATTAAGTTACCTGTATACTGTAGTAGTGGGGGAGGAGGAGGGTCCCTGCATCTGTTTACAGCAAAGCGTGGCAGGTCCCTGATAATGTCAAGTGTCACTAGACCTGCCTGGAGGAGGAGGGACATCTGTTCAGGAAGGGACGAAGTGAGGGCTGAGGACCTGAAGGAGGAGGTACGGGACGGGTCAGGATCCAAGCTCCAGGTTGTCTAGGTACTGCTGCCACTAACCCCCATCTATCAGGACCGAGTCAGGGTTATAGATGTGATGGTGCTTCTCTTCCTTGTGGCGCAGTGTGTGTGTGTGTGACTCGCCTCTTGTTTAAAACTCGTCCAGTGTTCGTCCAAGGCGTTCCTCTAAGACACACAGACGCATAACTCACCTCCCCAGATGGGATACACACTACCTGTGACATGAATAAAGAAACACACGGAGAAAAACATTGTCTTGATAACACCATTACCACGTTAGTCTCTTCCCTTGCTTCACGTCTGTGTTCTTAGTGATAACAACAAACACCTTTATAATTTATTACCTGTTATTATCATCACTTATAACTATCATCACTCATCATTGCTAATAGATTAATCAGTAAAATGCTTGGTAATAAAATAAATGGATCGTAAAAA